GAGATTATATTTATGTATGTTTGTTCCCGCCAAACAATATTAATAACGCGTAGGAAGCAGTTTCATCGACTTGCTGTAACTGAAAACAAAAAATATATATATCGTGAATGTTTGCATGGCAAAATAAAAACAGTCAAGGAAATGAAGGCTTTATATGCTGTTAAACAGCTTGATTAGCCAATGGAATGCCATAAAAACGTGATATAATAATTAATACGTTTTGCGATAAGGAGGAATCGTACAGGGCATCTCAAACAAGTAAAAGCATTCTTGACATCAACCCTGACTTTCTTGAAGTTTTCAACCTTGAATTTCCATTTTTTTAACATGCCCTATCGGGAAAATTCGGCACACGTCACTGGAGACAATAATTGCTCTGTCTCAATCGATTATTTGTCGCTTTATGGTTGGAGATGCCACACCAAGGCCGGTTATACAATTTATTAAATTACTTATACTAATTTGTGGTTTATACCGAGGTTTATACGTACCAAGATTGCATATTGGACACGAAACGAGTTTACCAAAGCTGTTTTAGGGTTATTCCATATGCATACAAATCGGTACTAAAGGGGGGGGGGGCGCACTACAGTCCGTGAAAGTAATTTGTAAAATTGTTTGTTTTTAAAGTCACATATTTAAAAATGACAGTTTTAGATCATTTGACGATCGATAACAGAAGTGTTTAATTTTAGCATGGGCTAGATCTAGAGAGATAGTTTCTTAACTACATAAATGTGTAATGTTTTCAGTGCCATCTGTCTATTGGTATATTTGCGCTGAATAAAAGTATTAATAAAAAAAATATCTAACACTTAAAACTTCAACTGTTTTTAAGCGATAAGGAATAAATACAAGAATATTTGTTAGTTTTATCGCCATAACAAAAATATTTTCTACTTTCTCGCGAAGAAAATAAATATTATTAGGTTCAGTGACGTCTATTTATTGTATTTTAGTAACTTATGAAGTCAACATTTTTTTTTGTAATTTTGTGCAATAACAATCACTTGGAAAGTGGCACGATTACAGTAAAACTTTTTGTATTTTTATAAAATTGGGACAGGCTCTAGAAACGAAGTATTTTGCGGGTCCTGTGCTCAATTTTTGGAAAATAAAGACAAACTACTAGGAAAGTCTGCAATAAGTTACTAAATTTCCTTACGATTTAATTAAATTGATACTGAATGTTTAATCATATGATTTTATTAACAATTGATTTTCAATTTAGGCCAATTCCTATGATTTTACGAGTTAAATGATGATCAGACAATTGAAAGCTATAAAAAATATGGTCCTTAAATTGACATATAGTGAGTAAAACAAGATTTTTTAATAAGCATTTACGTCATATTTAATCATAGGCAGACAGTTTTGGAGGTTTACAATTCGCGAAAAAATTGGGCTAGACAAAACTACCGTTTTTTTCTCAAAAAATTAAACTGCTGCAATCTATCATCTAAAAGGTTATTGTGGTCACTATGTTTGCCAATATACCTAAATATTAAAAACATTAAAAACAAAACAACCAAATTATTTTAATGAAAAAATCATCAAACCATTTCCGCTTTTAGGGACTGAAAATTTAAATATGTTTAGGATCAGCAAGAATATGTTTCCATGGAATTAAAGGCATCAGAAGACTCAGGCATGAATTGAGAAGATTTACCTTTAAATATTTTTTCTTAGCAGTTTTTAGTTTGCTTTTAGCTGAAATTTGATTATAAAAACACATGTTTACCCGAGAAAAATTAAGACATTGCTTTTTTTTACTTTATACAGGGTGTCCGGAAATACCGTTCGAATAATTCTAGGGGTGATTCTACATGTTAAACTATGAAGAAAAGTTCATATGAACATAGGTCTGAAAATGCGTCATAAGGTTGCTTTGGCGATTCAAAGATTGCACCGGGATATAGGTTTTATTTTATATCTCTGGAACCGTTTCAGATAGCCATCTGAATTTTGGCATATGAATTGCCTTTAATAGTAGGTACTTTTCAGTGTTTTTACTAAATTATTATTTTAATCAGGGGCGTACCGACAGGGGAGGCCTCGATTTAATTTGTTCACATTTTTATTAAACGTCATATTTTTGCAGTTTTCTTTAGAAATTCTGATTCCGCGGTATAAATGACATAAAAAAGGTATTCTTGTAGAAAACCTGTCAGGNGGCGATTTGGAAAAGTTTCTTGGTACAACCTCCGAGCTTCCAAAGCACAACCGTTTGCTTTGCCATACATGAAGTGCATGTCGGCCATTTCAGCAAAAGAGTATTCCGGCATTTTTTGAAAGACGAGAACAATGATTTTTTTCAATTACACTGTTATTAACACAATAATAATCGAATAAACTTTATTTTTAAACCTTATGTCAAATTCGTTTACCGTAACTACAGTAATTTGACCTTTTTCCATTTTCAACTTAGCACCGACATAAGCCTACTTTGATGTAGAAATTTTTATTATTGGGCGACCATGCATGCACTATTTTCTTTGGAGAGTATTTTCTCGAAAACGGCTAGCCTGACAGGTTTTCTACAAGAATACCTTTTTTATGTCATTTATACCGCGGAATCAGAATTTCTAAAGAAAACTGCAAAAATATGACGTTTAATAAAAATGTGAACAAATTAAATCGAGGCCTCCCCTGTCGGTACGCCCCTGATTAAAATAATAATTTAGTAAAAACACTGAAAAGTACCTACTATTAAAGGCAATTCATATGCCAAAATTCAGATGGCTATCTGAAACGGTTCCAGAGATATAAAATAAAACCTATATCCCGGTGCAATCTTTGAATCGCCATAGCAACCTTATGACGCATTTGCGGACCTATGTTCATATGAACTTTTCTTCATAGTTTAACATGTAGAATCACCCCTAGAATTATTCGAACGGTATTTCCGGACACCCTGTATAAAATATGTTTATCTTTTTTGTTAATTTGTGCATGATCTGAACTAATTTGAGAATTGCCATCCCGCTGCCGAATATAAAATTTTGGTTAAAATGCTATTTTCATGTTCATTGGGGTGTAACAAAAGAAAATATGTATACATATTTGGAAAAATATTTTAATAAGGTATTCAAGGACGTTTTTATTTCAAGTTTGTTCCAACTTTTTCCGAATTGTTGAATCTCTAGATAGCCATTATATGGTTAATTATCTACAATCACATGACGAGCTTCCATACAATTTAAAATATTTAACAATATCGTACAGGTTCGTAATTTTTTTCCTCTTGTCCTATGACATGGGTTTTTGATCGCACGTGACAATGGTGCACGTCGAAATTGAACTTTCTCTTGTTCGGGCAGTTCATTGCACGAATCCAGAGACGTCATATAAACAATCACGTGCCCAAGCGATCTCGTGATCTGCCACAATAAGGAATACATTAGTTATTGCATCTAAAGCGGTGTGCGATCGAATTAAACTTGCATTGTTAGTGAGGAGAGGTCTAAAAATTACATGCACATAGGTAACCGTTTATTTTTAACCCTGTTACTGATAACTGTATGATTTGTTTATATTATACTTCAAAACGGCTATCTGATATATTCCAGCTCAACGACCAAAAAGCGGGCGTTTGCGTATTTCACTTAATTTCCACACAAATTAGAACAATCGCGAATAAACCAAACAATCACATGATGCCTATGCGAGAGATAAATTAATTTCTTTTATCTAAATTAACAAAGTCGCGATAAGCGACATCACGTGAAACACCGTCAATTAGGTATTGCGATTAAAAAACCATTTTGCTAGGGCTTTGTCAGATCAAAAGTATTTACAACTGGCATTGGGAAGTTCTCTTGACAAAGCAGCCTGGACGAGAGCCAAATATGCGAATGAGCGAATGTTTTATTTATTTTCTTTGACCACGCGTAGTGAACTTCTTAGCTTGAAAATGTGGCTGGGCAGAATGACTAATCTGTTTGGGTAGGTACGAAATTGAGAGACTGGCTAACGTAATGATCGTCAGATAGGAAAAAAATACAATCATAATTTTGGACGAAATCAATTTTGACGGCGGAGTCGTTGGAGCATGGGCGATCAAGTCAGGGTAATGTTGAAATTGTTAAGGTTATATAACAAGCATTGAATAATTTGCAATTCATGTGATTTTATTGTTTATCCTTGGGGTCACATGCTGCATCTCTCAGGTGGCTGGCTACACCCACTTGTTCCTGTTTTTCCGTTAAAATTTTGATAAAATTATATTTGCAACGAAATCCAAACAGCTAGATTTATCGCACATTTAACACAGACCTTATTACATGGACGTACCCTACTTGTGAACAAGACACGGACGAAAATCAATGTTTTTTAGTCTCTCCCTTTAACTTCATTCTTCATTGCATTAAAACAAGCTTCAAAACAAATAAAAATATAATACGTACATCAGTCTAGTTCGTAGAAAAGAAATGAGTGTAGATAGATGAGTTAGTAGCAACAATTTTTTCATCTTTTTTTTTTTCAAAGAAAAAACAAAATGCAAAATTATCCGTTTTCGTGCATTACCTTTCGTTGTAATTAATTATCAACTTGCCCCTGTTTGCAGTTTTTTTCAATACAAATCGACTTGTACGAGCAATCGGGTGGGTCTGTCAAAGCATGTGACCACGATAAAGTGGGTCATTAAAAGGCCGTTTCTGAATGAAAAAATGGTAAAATGGGCCCTTCTGCCAAAAGCGAGAACGATGGTGAGCCTTTTCCGTCTACTCATTGATTTTATCTACGACAAAGGCCCGAAATATACGTGTAATCTTGGCATATGACTCGTACTACGCCCATGGAGTAGACATCAGTAATTTCGCTTACAAGTCAAAGTTTGCTTAATTCAAACCATTCTGCCACATAATACCAATTAAATGAGTTGTATAAAGTGTTTGTTGTACGACGCACGGGCCCGACAAACTATTTTAAAAAGCGAAAAGGCTCCGTCATCGGATAAATCGATATTGTAGCGGTAAGATGAGTACAATTTTACTTACAACTGAAAATAATAGCGGAGGCTGCTCCCATTACACCGAAGAAGGGTCCGTAGACGGGGTTTGTCTCAGAAGCCGACATTTTGTTATTTAGGGGAGTATTTACAGGTCAGAACGGTCTAAAAGGTGCACAACACACTACGGAACTAGCGAACCCACTGACAAATATGGCTTACACGACTGCCACCAGCAAGAATGGGTCATATGACGATAAGAAATTTTCAGGTGGAGTGCGGGTATTTCCACTTTCCCGATTGGTTATATTTGAGTTTAAGGACGAGCGCCGACCAATCAGCACGTGACGTCGCTGATAATTTTGTGATGTCAAATCCGCTACACGTCTGTGGCTGATGGATGAATAGGCGGATTATGTACTTTGGCAAACAATACGAAATCTTTTTCTACTAATATTTCACGTATTAATTATGTCACCACATTTTTGTACTAATGTTGCTAGAGAGGACAGTTTTTTTCACCTAGAAAATCTGTTTTGAATCACATGATTCCAACCTCATCCGGTCATGAAGCACGCGCCGGTGTAGCGCCAATTTCAAATTTAAAAATAAAACCGGATAAGCGGAATGTTTCGTTTCGTGAAAGTAACTAGAATGTTAGTATCCTTAAGTTATGAGTAATATTAGTTTTTTCCTATAGATATGCTTTGTTCATTTTTACACTTTCATTATATTGATTACATGATTTTTTGGCCCGCATTTTAAATACATAATGTTATTAAACCTCCTTTGTGTACAACAAACGCAAACTGAACATCAATGCATTTTTGTGTAGTTTTTTTAGATATATAATTGAATCGATCACAGTTGTGTAAATGGCTACCAATAATTTATGATGTACATGGTGATGAGTTTAAAAATTTGTATGCCCGAGGTTATTCAAGAGTTATAACACGGGTTATAAATTTATGATAAAAACGTCACCAAAATGTGTTACGAAACAAATTAACACGCCGGCATTGTTTACCTACGCCTCACGTCTAAATTTCAATACGAAATAGGTCCAGTCAACAGAATTAGAAATGATAATTTAATTATATATAACGTTTTGTAAAAAATATTTGGTTCGCATTTGCACCGAATATGCACGGATAATTCTTCGCGTAAATAGCGCGCGTGACATTGAATTTAAAAAAATTACTGTACATTTTAGGTTTTAGACTTATTAATTTCTTACTAATCAAATAATTGAGCCAAGGCCACCGAGTAGGACACCTGTTGAAGGTGAAATTGTTCCGAGTATGGATTTTATTTTATAAACTATACATGTAGTATTTGTCGGTTGAAGATATAAATTAAAATTTGACTTCACCAATTGTGGATACCATCAATTTTACAAGGAAGTTATTGTCTATATTCTATTTTTTTACCTACCTTTCCAATCGTAAAATACAGGATTAACTATTAGATGTGTTCAATTTCGTAATGCATTTACCACTAATATTCTTCCAATACCTTTTTATACGATTTTACTTACCTCTTTATTCTGTTTTAAGAATTTCTTTCCATTTTTTTTTTTTTTTAATAAAAGGCATTTCATTTCATTACTCTATTTTACAAAAACGAAACAATACAATTATCGGGAATGATAAATATACACAAATTATGTACACGTTTTTCTGGTAAAATATCATTAACAGTTAATGCTTATCTAGAGCCTTAGCTAGGAGATCATTCATGGAAGTTAACAGAACCCTTGGGTCTTCCACGAGTCCTGCTCCTACCATCGAATTGGCGAACAACTGAAAACAATTTTTCGCAATTAAAAATGGGGCAATTAATTTTTTATATTACTAAAATGGATATTACATTCTCAGGGAATACTATCTAGAAGGACATTTCTTTATATTCCTATCAGAATGTCTAATTAAATACAAATACTAATTAGACTTGAAAATAATTTTTCAAGTGTTCATACAAATTTGGAAATACGTAATTTGTATCTTTGCAAGTATTTCCTAAAATGCATATTTTATGTAACATTATCGCGACTAATTAACTAACGATTAAACCTGTCAAACCATGTGACTGATAATGAGATGTTTATTGAAATTGTGACCTTATCTCCTTATCAGATAACCTGATTATCGGGAACTATAAAAAATTTAAGTTGCATTGTAAATCTTAAGTTAAAGGGGTCACGTGTACTATATTTGTTAGATAGTAAAAACCACAGAATTTAATGAAGAGTTCATCTTTCAAACAAGCAAAAAATAAATTAGCAAAATTTTTTTTGTAATTTTCGGTTTTGTATGTAAATTTCATTTACGTAAAAATAAAAAATATATATCCGCAATTCAGTTCAACATAATACTCTGTCAAATTAATCATCATAAAGGAATTATTTTGTCAGATAGCGTATCTCTTGTATCACTTACGGAAATTTTTAACTAATTTTAAAAGTTCTTATTTTTGTCTCCTTAACATATTTAGAAATAATTTAAAACACGTCCAGCTGTTTCTACACATAAAAATCATTAAAATCATCTAGAGGTTTTTTTTAAATACATTTGTTAGAAAAAGCCATTTTACAAATTAACACACCAAATCAACAATAAAAAATTAGAAAATTTAAATTATTTTGTAGAATAATTTATACAGCGTGTATCTTTAAAAGGGTTGTGTTGTGAAACCTGATTTCTTTTAACCATTTTTTTTTTGATAATTTTTCATACCCCGCCACTGGTCAGGTTCATGTAACCTTAAACGGGATGCTTTGCAAATCTCATCTTTCTTGATTCACATTCATGTTTTCTTATAATATTGCGCTAAACATTAAAATAAATAACTTTATAAGGTTATACACTTACACTATACAAAACACTTCGCTAAATACCTCTTTAAATTTTGCATAAAATTAAATTTAATAAAACAAAACAACGCACTATACAAATTCTATTTCGATTTCAGTAAAAATTAACACTGCATTCAGAAATTTGTGAAATTACAGCTAACGGTATAACATGTTCTTGTAACTGATAAATTGAAAACTAAAATCAATGTAATTAAATGAATCGGTGACAAATTTGGCCGTTCTTGTTCCACCAAATTAACATCGCTCGTTTGTTTTTGTTGTGCTGTTGTCATATCACATCAGGCAGACTGATATTATGTAGCTCACCTAAATCTGGTCAATGTGAGAGGTCATTGACATTGAGATTCACAAACTAAACACAGTGCTTACAAAAAAATTGTAACGGATACTTTTCGTCATAAAAGTTTGAAAACAGCTGTACTAGACTATTTAAATCATCCCAAATATGGGTTTTATTATAATTATATCTAGAACAATATTTAGGCAATATTTTAGGAACCATTTTCATATAAATTGTTTTTATTATTTTTATGTGTAGAATCGCTCTTCTAAATTTTACATACAATTTTACAAGAGATAAAAAATGATAAAATTAATTTTGTATAACAAAAGAAACTAGGAAAATTGAAATATAAAAACTTAACATAAATTGTTTGTTGTGGGTATGTCTTTTTTACGTACGCTTTTCGATTTGACAGTGCTAAATAATTCGTACAGCAGTGCATGATATTATTTTTGATTTGTGGGTGTTTCGTGCAATAAAAATGGCACATGTTTATGAAAACAATGAACTAGTGGACATAATATTAACTTACGGGGAGTGTCAAAAAAAAGGAAGTCGCAACATGTCGCTTGTACGCGAAAAGGTTTCCTTTCTGGATGTTTGTAAATTTAGTTATAAGACTCCGTGACACAGGGTATTTAAAGGAACGAGGAGGTCACGCTGGAAGTTAAATTGTTTGTTTACTAACATCGACCTAGTGCTCGTTGTTAGGTCGTTTTCGACAATTTCTAAAATATCTTCCTCGATCTCCACCATTTCACATGGAGGTCTTCCAACATGACCTTCTCGTTGTTCCTTTAAATACCCTGTGTTGCGTAGTCTTATAACTAAATTTACAAACATCTGTGGAGCCGGATTATTTCGTAAAGGAAACCTTTTCACGTACAAGCGACATGCTGTGGCTGCATTTTGTTGACACTCCCGGTAAGTTAATATTATGTCCACTAGTTCATTATTTTCATAAACATGTTACATTTTTATGCACAAAACACCCACAAATTAAAAATAATATCACTCACTACTACGAATTATTTACCACTGTCAAATCGAAAAGCGTACTAGAGAAAAAAAAGACATACCTAGTATCAGTAGTAAACAACAATTTATGTTTTTACAATGGAGTGGTTGAAAATGACAATAAATCAGGTTTGTAATATAAGGTTTTTTAATTTCAATTTTTTTAAATAATTGTTAATAATTGCTTTATTTGACAACTTTTATATAAACGATTGATTATTTTGGTAAATCGACCTTTTTTATGAGTCCTACCAGCTGTTAAAATAAATTACTCAACTTTGAGAACACCCTGTATAAATAATAAATTGAAGAACCACAGTTTATTAAAGGTTTATCTGATATGGAACTGACAAACAAATATTCATAAAAAAATTAATATAAGCTTATTAATATGAAGAAAATCCAAAAAAATTATGACAAGTTTGGATACTTAAGAGACGAGATATTAATAAAATAATTTTTCACGATTTAGTACGAAGTCTTAAATGCACAACAGTTGACGAACAGGATCCACAACAACTTGTATACATAGGAAACCGATATCTAAGGAACCGTGTGACAGCTCGTAGAAATCGATTAGGTACTTGTAAGATACATAATTTATAATAATTCTCCTTCAAACTGCCGTTGTTGACTAACTTAACCTCCATATGCGTGATAGCGGCAACGCCGCGGCTCTCGATGTAGCGTATTATTTGAAATTCGCAGATGTGACATATGATGTATATTTGAAGCTTAGACATCCAAAGAAACAGAATGATCGAAGGCGAGCGAGCGAACGCCGAACCGAGCGTGCCAGCCAAGTGCAACGTTACCAAATCTAAAGGCTTATTACTTTGGTCACTAGTGAATCTACAGAAACTCTCATTTGACTTTAGACGTACCCGATAAACCTCCTTAAGTGGAACTGTTTTAACATTTTAACTTTTAACATTGGATTTAAATTTAAAATTTTAAATGTGAATACGTGAATAACATCGTATATCCCGTCAGTTTTTCAAAACTCCGATTTTCAGATATCCAGTTTTGGCCATTATTCGATTAATCGGTTTTAGAGTATCCGGTTTTGACCACTATTCGGCTAACCGGTTTTATCTGATATCGTTTTTTATGGAACCTGGTTAGCCGGTTTCACTTTATTCCGGTTTTTGCCAGCACTAGTAACAACTAAGAAGTGCCTACTATTCATCTGATTAAAAAAAAACACAAAGTTAAACCCTGCAGATTGGTTAAAAGTCCTGATAGCAAGACACATAGTCGGAGGACATTTGTCATTTCAGGTGTATTTCATATTATATCAAAAATTGCTGTGGGTCCTAAGTTTTCTAAAAATAGATTTTTCATTCCCGAAAGACTACACGGGCCACTGTTTGAGATGCTTTTCTGTGACAATTTTATCTGATTCTGCGACAGACATTACCTCCAAAAAAATATGGCGACTTTAAAATAAATCGCAAAGTTATAGAAGCGATATGTTTTTACTGAGTTATTTTCCATATCAGTTTCACTCTCTGCCACTCCGTTAGATACATATTCCGTTTTAAAAAGGTAACAACATGTAACACTGATAAGCGCACATATACACCAAGTCCGAGAACTGCCCCGAGGCGACGTAGACAAGAATTAAAGTACAGTTTAAGAACCGAATTATAGCTTAACTATTTATTGAACTTAAAAGAAATAATTTCAGATTAGTAATATTCTCGGGAACAGGTACTACTAACCTTAAAAAAAATTTACCTCCATTTAACTTACACCCTGTGTATACTAACCTGTTTAGCTAAAAGTTCGGCCAACTCAGGATCACTGGTCATCAGTTTATGCAATTTTTTTATTATCGGATGTCTGCAACAAACGAATTAAAAAGGTATTGTCGCAATTTTATTTTCTTACTTATTTTATACGAACACAAATTTCATCGTGCCTAACTAATGGTATCTAAACTAATTTACCTTGGATTGATCTCAAACTGGGGCTGCAGTATGGCGTACCGCCTGTCATCCGACAAACCATGGCTCTGCATCCTGATGAAATGCCTGGCGGCCGCCATCTCCTCCACCGTTATAACGCAGGGGTGGTTCTCCAGACGAGTGGTGGCATTTACCGATGCCACTTTACCGCTCAGCTTGTCTTTGATCCAACTTGATAGTTCATTGATTTCGCTGCGTTTCAAGCTGTCCTCCCCTAAAGTCACATATTTTAGCACTAATCATACGTATACTTGTTTTTTTTGTACCTAAATTTGAGAGATCATTGGCGGCCTTGTCGTCCCTCAAGTCCTTCTCGACGGACACCAGTCTGTATCCCTTGATCTGTTGTAGTTGCATCAGCACGAGTTCATCATAAGGCTCGTAGCAGAAGAGCACTTCTTGCTCTTTATTCTTTAGAGATTCGTAGTAAGGTGACGATTCTGCCAGAGCTCGACTACAACAAAAAATATAAGTTATATTATATGTCGAATTAAAAAGGGTTTATCTGATTACCTGGGGGCTGCTAAGTAAAATATCGTCTTGTTTTCAGTGGCACGGGAAATATAGTCAGTCAGTGTTATTTTCTTTCCAGATTCCAATCGCGAGGATTCAAATAACAGTAGGTGGGCCGCCTCTTCCTAAAAAATTATATTTTGGTTTAATTCTTCAATAGTATAGTTTCCAAATTTAAATTCAAACTTTCAGTCGTCAGTTAATAGGGGTTTACGAAAATTAATTCCTAGTAAATTAGACAATTACACATAGCATTCTCTCTCTCGAAAGCCGTAAGAATAACAAAGACAAGGATAGTAATCGGAGCACACCCGGAATAAACTTTCGTAAACTCCTAGTAACATTTCTCATTTTTTCTCAATCCGACATTTGTTTTTGACAGTAAATTGTCAAGAATCTGTCGAAATCAAATGAAACCGCGAATTTTTGCATAAACAAAATGAACAAGTTCAAACAAGAAAGGCGGTACTAAATAGTAAATTTGTTATATTTCAAGTGTGTTATTTACTAATCTGTGAAGCGTATTTAGTTTTACATTTCAATCAGAAAAATAGTTTTTAGAATGTCGCAAATTTTAACCTCAAAAGCGGCGAAAATAAAATCACAGGAACTAAGAACGAAATTAACACTTTTTACAAACACTCTTTCTACAGCGGGGATTTTGTTATCATTCAACGATGACCCACATATTTTAAGCCAAGAACAAGCTTTGGTAGTTCGAGATCTGGATAAATGTTTTGGCAGTTCCGCAAACAATGTTGAAGAATTCATCAGAGGCTTAAAGAGTCTGTGCGAGAAGGAAAAGTACTTCAAGAAGGCTCTTTTACCGACGTGGTTAAGGCGAAACACCGATGATAATGAAAGTTTCGGAGCAAATTTGAAATTTCAACAAGAAAGTTTATTTAGGTAAACATTCAATTAAGCATATTTTTAAATACAAAGTTTATTACTGGTTTATTGCTATTTCAGAATATTTCTCAGATGTAACCACATCCAAAAAGAAGTAATAAACATACTTCTGGATGCAATCACATCTACTGTGTCCGAAGAAGTGCACGACGCTTCATGGTTACGTCTGCTTTTGAACTCTTTGCGGTACTTGTCCTACATAAAAGAAGCGGAAAACTTAACAACAAAACTATTGGATATTTTGGATATTGCCACTCTTCCAGAGCAAATAGAAATCTTGGAATCCATCCCGGACATTCTACCCGATAGTCAGTTCAAGGAAACGGCAAAACAACTAAGCAAACTTTTAGAGGGAAATGAGGAACTTTCAGGGGCTATAGTGGATTGCCTAAATGCTCTGAATTTAGACGCTGATATACGAGCAGACGTTCAAGACCAGATCTTATCCAGGATCCTTGGTGGTACGTCGTTGAAAAATTTTCCAATATTACTACAATTTCTTTTGACGGATTGCAAGTCGCAAAACTTGGTACCTACACTGATGAAAATCAGGAATTCTCTTGACATCATAATGTCATCTAGTGACAAGACAAAAGAGAAGGAATCGTGCAAGATTCTAATATTCAGCCGACTTCAAGCTTTTGCCATTTCCCCAAAAACTATCACGGAGGCGTGGTTAAATATGATTTCTACCATTAGAACGCATTCGGATCACAAGCCCGTGGATTATTTGATCTTGTTTATGCTTCACGCAGCCGCTAAATTCAAGAAAAGGATAATAGAAGCAATGTTCAGAAAACGTCTACATGCAGGGCTGTTCAAAATCAGTTTATTGGAAAAGTTGTTTGAAAAATACATGCCGCAACAACTAATTAGGGATTACTTTGGGTCTATTGTGGAAATTGGAGGCAGCTTGTTAAGATCCTCTACGGATTACGTTGTACTGGAATTTGTAACCGTTCTTTTCACAACCTTATTCAATCACAAATACACGGAAACTATTTACCGCAGGGAAATGTTAGACAGTTTGGTATTACTGACGGGCGTCAGTGAAAAGAAATCGGTAGGTCACGTGTTGAAAATAATCACGTCTCTATTAAATAACAGCGACAAGTTGCGACAGCACACGGCGCTTTTGATGTGTCTGTTGGAGAAACTAGATTCGTTTGAACTGAAGGACGTGAAAGAGGTATTCGAAATTTTGTGTGCATTGACTTGCGGTGAACAAGCAGAGGAGAGCATGTCTGGGTTAAAAGACGAAATTCACATGTTGATTAGGAAGCAGTTGTCCAGTTCGAAGAGAATCATAAAAACGAGAGGAATAATCGCAGCAGTGGCCATGGTGAAGCATCTAGTTCTTAGGTCAGAAGAGCAAATTAACCTCGATTTACCGTCTGAATCCCTAGAAATCATGGATCTGCCCCGCGGTCGGTCACGGGAAGCCGCTATGCTTCTACAGTTCGCGAACGATTGCACCATGATTTGTCCAGAACTTATGGGATTGTATTACGATCAGATAACGGCGATGTTCATCATCACCAATCATTTCGACAAATACTTCCTCACTTGGATTCAAGAAACGATGACACGCACGTTCACCGTTATGTACATGACTGAATCGGTACCCAGCGGCACGAATGGCTTGCAGTTCTCCAAACAATTGGAACTAAACACCTCTGATGAGGTGCATTCACTCCTGGCAGTCAACATTGCGGGAATGACAGTTGGCGGAGACGATAAAATTTTATTGTTAGCATCACATTTTCGCCTGATACGACTTGTACATTATAGGCTCCAAGCTGGTGATCTGTGTACGTTAAATGGTCTCTTGGGCTGTGGCGTCATATTACCAGACATGCAAGAGATTATAGACCTAGACACGGATCAGGTAACTCTAGTCGCAGATTGTCTGTTTCACTGCATCAACTGGTTCAGGGAAGTCATTAACGGGTACGTCACGCAGAAAAACAAGAAGGTGAGGGCTAAGACAGCGCAGAGACTGCAGGATATCATGGATTTAGAAAAGAAGCTCTACGAATGCTTGGATCGCGCTCCCGATCACAAACTGCCGGTGAGTTATTTCGATTCAGTGACCGAATCGAAGAAACAGATGATGTCTCCTTTTAAACCCGACAAAAAAGGCATGAAAAAGAGATTCAAATCTGCCTCTTCAATGAACGAGAACGACGATACAGTAGCTTCCACCTCAGCGGGGCCTCCTCCAGCTAAAAAGAAGAAACTAGCTGTCAAAATTCCGGAATTTCACGTTAAATTCAGGGAAATGGACTCGGATCTTGTGCTTCTTTTGAAGTATCCTCTCGTATTCGACTCCGAACAAGACTCCTCGCAGTTCGTTTCTTATACGACCACTATAAACATCGACCAAGTCAAGTTTATGTTGAGCGACCACGTTGCTAAGTTACAGGCCTTGACGAAAGGTGAAAATATAGGACTTTCTCACTTAAACGTAGTAACTCCTATTACCATTATATCCGATTCCATAATTACACTACCAAATATCGATAAACACTTCAGAATCATCGTTAAAAAAATCAATAGACTGCTACAATTAACCGACGGTCGCCACGACCTCCCGGAAATGTTCACCGAAGAGGCTTTGAAGGTGAAGGCATGTTTCGGATACATCATAGAGATTTTCCACCTCACTTTTAGCTGGGCCGGGTTCCAATTCTCCAGTAACCTAGAACTGCTCAAGACCATTCTCAAGAGCATGCGTTCTGACTTGTCTCAAATGCCAAGCTCGGCGAACAGGCTAATTATCGATTTTCTCAACCGTTTCGCCAGCCATTACGAACAGTGCTTGCAACTGTCGCATGCAGTGAGTCTTATCAAGACGATGGAGGCTCTGTACGGAATAACCACGTCTAATCCGGCTGTGGAGAAGAAAATCTCTTCGGTTGCGGAGAAATTACTAAGCAATCGCTGGTACAACTCGAAAGGTAGTCTGGATGCCGGTAGAGAATGCAACTCAAACATAGAAGCTTTGGTGAAATCATATCTGAAATGTAGCGATACCACCACACTAAGTGGATTGGTTGGAACCTTACAAGATGAAGCTCCTAATTTGAACACGAAAGAAGACTGCCTGCGTATGCTCGTGAGCATCGACAAACAAAACTTCCACGTTTTTTATGCGGGGATCTGCACCACGCTGGTCGATAGGATTAAAATCGAAGTTCAGAGCTTAACGAACAACCAGCACTTGGTTCTGTGGCGAACTGTAGCATTGACACTGCAGGGACTGATGTTCGTGTCGAAGTTACACGACAGCAACATGATTCTAACCACTTTTTTGAAGAAATCCAACGTCATTTTAAATGTTTTTCTCACACACGGCGTCCCCATTTTAGAGATCATGCTACGATCCAAACCTGACGAAGTTGTGGAGATTTTCAAGATGATGCAAAACTGCACTCGGTATCTCCACAGTCTGTGCTGTTATTCGAAAGTTAAGAAAGAAAAGGGTCTCATGGCTTTCGTGCCAAAGTTTAGGATGACGCTGGAAACGTTAATTTATAGGGTCAAAGCTGCGTTGGTTGCAAACAACTGCACCGTGGCGTTCTGGATGGGGAATTTGCGCAACAAAGACTTGCAAGGGGAGGAGATTCTGTCGCAGAGCACCGTCGTCACCGAGAATAACGATAACAACAGCGAGGAAGAATTGCCCGCGGATGAGAGCGACGCGGAGGTTCCAAGCGATGATAACGCTTCAGAGTCGCGGGAATCTAGGGAGAGCGAAGTTTTTTGAGGCAATCTTACCTTTTCCAACTGGTTGTAGTTGGTGACGATTCCCTCTTTGATGAACAATCCGTATTCTTGGTAGAATTTTTCATAGTCCTGTTGGTTTTTTTTCAGTTGGTCTTGCAGGAATTTTACAATCTTTGAAGTTAGAACATCACGTAATTTTCTGTGAGAAAAATGTATTTATAATGTTTGTATTTTCTAAGTTTTATATTTCGTTTGTTATATATAAAAACTCTATGTATTTTTTATTTCGATATTTTTTAAACGAAATAAATATATTTCTCGCTGTCTTTGAACAAAATAATTTTTATTCTACAGGGTTTTTTTTTGGCAATTAAGGTAAAAAACTATGAATTTTTTAAATAAATAACGTAATCTTTGAGATACAAGGTGTTATAGCTTTTGAAGAAAGAAAAACTTGGTTTGGTGATAACTAATGGGGAAGGTTATCGAAGAGTCAGTCACCGATTTCAATGAAACTGCGCAATTTTGTAGAGGACAAAAAATTACGAGAAAGGAAAACTTTCTTCTCTGCCGATAAACATTTAGAAAGGGTAAAAAGGACCCCTAAAAACAGTTTTTTCAAGAAATCTCTGTTTTATACATAAATTTGTATTTTTCCTACAAAAAAAAAAGAAAAAATAAAATTATTGCTTACTTGATCAGTGAACTATTCTGAAGAAGTTCTCTGCTCAAATTCAGTGGAATATCTTCCGAATCGACAACACCTTTAACAAACCTTAACCATTTGGGCAATATATTATCTGCTCTATTTTTTATGAGGACTTTCTTCGAATACAAAGCTACTCCTGATTCAGTTTCCCTTGACATTTCAAACAAACCTAAAGCATAGCGTTAAATATAGGAATTTATTAAAAAAAAAACTTCAGTCACCTGGTTTTCCTTCAGGAAAATACAAAAGGGCTCTAATCGATAAAGGAACATCGGTTTTGTAATGCAACGTGTACCTCGGCACGTCGTAACTTCCACTTATAAATCTATAGAACTCGTTATGTTGTTGAACCGTCACACTTTTCGGATCTGCTAGCCACAGCGGTTGTACAATATTAGCCTTCTTTCCGTTTAAGTACAAGGGACTGCCAACGAAATTACTGTATTTGTTGATGATATTTTTAATGGTATCGTCGTCGGCAAACTCGCGACAATCCAATTTAAGGTGCAGTACGATTTTCGTACCGGATTGTACGCCTTCTGCTGGTTGGATTTCATAAGTACCGGTACTAAAAAAAATTTAATGTGTACATGGTAAAATTTTTCTTAAAAAAATACGTACCCATCAGAAGTCCATTTGTAACCTTGCTCTTCACCTACAGCTCTAGAATATACATCGACTTTGTCGGCTACCATAAAAGAACTATAAAAACCAACTCCAAACTGGCCTATAATACTGTTATCTCCAGTAGATTGTTTAGATTTCATTTCTTCTATAAAAGCCTATAAATCAATCTGCATTACGAAAAACTTATGATCATATATTGACTTACTTTTGATCCTGATTTGGCAATTACTCCCAAATTTGAAATAAGTTCTTCTTTGGTCATTCCAATACCGGTATCCTATAATATATTGAGATTAAACATTTAATAGAAATAATTTTACAGAAGTTCTAACCTGTATTGTCAGAGTACGATTGTTTTTATCTGTTGAAATGTGGATTTCTAGTGGACGGTCTACATCTTTCACTTTTGCTGCTTGTTCTTCTCCCAATATTGTTAAGTATCGAAACTTTTCCAATGCATCGCTTGCATTCGATATTAATTCTCGAATAAAAACCTCCTTATCCGAATATAAGGACCTCGCTACAATATCCAGCAGCATTCTTGTTTCGGCTTGAAATTCATGTTTAGTACTGTCTCCTAAAACGAGACAAATTTAAATAAAAAACAATTTGAAAAGTTTGTAATTTACCTATCGGTTTCTCTGTATCTTTGATTATGTTGTGATAATCATCCTCTTTTGGCGATGCTTCTGTACTGTGTAATCTTAGCAGACTTACACTAGCTGAAATAGGCAAAATTTTATAAAAAATGGCATGATCTTTGTACATAACCTTAAAACAAACATACCGGAGTTTTTGTAGATATTCTGTGCTAAATTTACATTCCTGCATATTTTATTTCTACCATAATTGGATATTAAATGTCTTAGTGGAATTAAAGTGCTTAATCTACGTAATGTGGACATTCTTGTAACTTTGTCTTACTTTATTTACAATTACAATTTTTTATTTTATGGAAACACCAAAGAACTTTATTTCAAGAAATATGGAAAATGAACATGTACTTAAAAATATTGATTCAACTGAAATAAATATAGTATTAAATAAAGATACATAAAGGATATTAAATCTGATTGGTTGTCTCGTTCCATTACATCTTTTCAGCCAATCAAATATCGCATAATTGTACTTGTTCTATTCTGTACTATACATTTATATATACATTACATATAAGTTGCTTTATCTAGTGTACTCAAGGACTATATCAAAAGAAGTATTAGTAGAAAACTGTTAATGCTGTATATATAGTTAATATAGTTCCGCTAGATGTCACAACATCTTTGCAGATTTCTCTACTGATAAATTGAACACGTTCAAGTTATTAGTTAGGAAGTTGACGGATAGATGTCGCGCCTCATATATTTTTATGAAATTTAGTTTTATACACAAAACGTGTATGAATCAAAACTATTTTACAGAATCTATTTATCACTTTCCTTTTATAAAAATAAGGGTACAAAATTTTTTGGATTAGATTCGTGCCTTGTGCATCAGTTTACAATTTATCCTCTAAATTCTATAAGTATTGGGCGAATTATTCTGATGTATAGGAAATTAGTCATCTGTGCTAATTTTTTAAGCATTTAAAACCTCTGTTTACGACAATGCGATATGCCTCATTGCCCTCGAATGGAAAAAAGGGTCAAAACGAGACACCTCTTCAAAGGGTTCGGCCGAATATCACCACGCAAAATCCGTCTTATCCTCTTTTCAAAGTGTCACGATACGTCTTTCCTTGCAAAACAGATGCCGCCTGCAGATTTAAAATATATTTCAAAGGATTAGGGATTTTCGCAAGGATTAAAATTCTGGCACTCCTTTTGCCATGCCCTTTTTCTAACATATCCCATGACAAAAAATTTTCATAAATATGATTAAAAGTGAGACTACTTTTATTACTCAATTGCGAAGTGAATGTACCTTTAATGGCATTAACTATGTCAATATTTTCGATTATTTTAATTGCCATTTTATCTATACGTAATGACTGAATAATTTTGCGATTTTAACCTAAAAAAATACATCTTTACATTTAATAGGTGGCGATTACACAGTGATAAAAGATATTCCAGAACAGATTCCTTTCACGTTCTTCAAAGAGACGTTCCAAGGTTGCCTTTGTGAAAGGATTTTTTTTGACATGGTTTTGACTGATATTTATTCGCTTGACTTGCACAGAAAGGACACATTTTCGCCCATTGTGGGCGTCGTATTCAAAGGATTAAATATACGATAATAACAAACATGTCTTGCACAATGAGATCGGCACACACAAGCTTGCCGCAAATCCCGTAGTCAGAGGCGGAGCACTGTTTTATTTTTTCTGAGCGGTAAATTAAGTTTTTTTAAATCCTTACAGTTTACCTACATACAGGCCCGGATCCAGAGGGGGTGGCGATGTGGCGATCGCCACCCCCAAAGCACAACATTTTTTAAAGATCTTCAATTTCTCCAAACGACAACAGGCAGTTAGTCGATATTAATGCAAGTCCCCCTTCCTAACCTACACCTTACGTCATCAAAAAAATAACAACAACAACAACAACAATAATAATAATAATGATAATGATAAAGAAGTGCTTTGCGCCTCCCCCAAAACCAGTCTCTGGATCCGGGCCTGCCTACATATGTTTCTGTAAGATTTATATAGTTATACATTAAAAAGTCAAGTATCGGGCAAGGTAGAAATATTTGGAAAAAATTTCTGATATTTAGTTTAGCTAGTTACACTTAAAATTACTGACGCTGAAAAAAATATGTCACGGGGAGGTTGAAAAACTTGTTCCCACATTTATTTAGCCATACCCGTATACAGTCTGGGTCGAACGAAAAGTGCAGGTGGTAGAAATGTATACGCTCAGTTGAAGAATGAGCGTGCTGGCAAAGAGCAATGCTCACTGTTTCTCTGGTCCATTGCGTTGTCAAAATTCAGTTGTCGACTAGTCGCCTAGCAGTGCAGTGCGGGAATGCGGAATTTGGTGTGATTCAGATAATTTTAATTTATTATAGGCACCCTTCTATTAATCATTCATATTACAATTGCGAAAGGGAAAAATAAGAGGGATATTTGGTTTACTAATATTATTACAACATAAGGACATAAATAATTAAAATATGTTGTTGGTCAAATGAACATATAATAGAAATTTTCTACACATTATATACAAATTATTATAATTTTCTACCTTTAGCAGAAAACTTTTTTAGGGACGCCCATGAAACTCATTAAATTTGATTGCTCGTTTTTTTTATGCATGTTCAACTGACTTCGGAAGAACTATAACAGCTTTTAGAACATTGATGGTGTTAAGAAATATTTTGAACCTAAATGAAATTAATGAGAATATATGTGGTTTATTTTTAGTTGCAAAAACAGTTGACGAACGTCACGTACATATTATTTTACTTCATTCATAGATGACGTGATTACTTGAACAAAAATTATTTTTAATTAAAAAAAATTGTTGTTTTGGTATTTTAGGAATTAATTATCTATACTCCGCGGTAGAAATTATAGAGTGTGACTCATCGCTAGCTTTTGGACTAGTAAGGGGTTTGAAGCGTGCCGGGAACGAAAATCCATTGGCGTGTCTGCGTAAAAGGCAACAAGATATAGAAAATATTGAAAAAAGATAATAAAACATAACATCTAATATTTTTTTACGGTTTGCTATAACCGGCACTTTGATCCATTTTAATTATTACAGCATTTTAAAACGTCCCAGTTGTGTTTTTTTAATTTATAAATTTATTATAGCAATGGAATTAGACCCCTCGTCTACGCTTATGCTCTGACGTTTCTCAGGACGGCTAAATCAAGTCCGTTTCCACCCACTAAAAAAGAATTTACCTATTCCCTACCAAGTGCAAAAGACAGAGATAGAATATTTAGATCGACGTTCAGTGTAACTCAGTCTATACACGATTATAGATTCTACCGATGTGCATGGCGAGCGGCACAAAGATAAATAATATTGAACCGTTATAAAAATCATTTTATATTTTATGCACATTATAGTAATAGTGTATTTATATTATGTCTTAGTCACTCTCTATAATTTCGACCGCGGAGTATACACTAGTTTAATATTTTGACATTTATCTCGAAAACAGTACGTTACAACTGCCAGAATACATTTTTGTAAAGCCTTTGCCATTCTTTCATAATAGTGAGAGAAAATATTTGGAATAGCTTTAAAGGAAAAAAAATAGTAACGAATATTACTACGCCTATCTTTGGAATTACGTCTCTGTACGTAAATAACATGTATCACACGCATACGTTTGCTTGGAAGAAAAAGACTTTATTCTTAAAATGAACCAACAATCACATTTAACGTACACTGCCTTATTTAATTTCAAAAATTCAGCGTTAAATTCGGGTGAGGCAAATTGGAATCGCGCTAATTCACTTCCTAAGCGATTATACGAGAGTGGCACTGGCCACGTCGTGTTCGAATTCCACTTTTCTGGCAGTTTGCGTCGCATATCCGGGTTTGGCCCGCATCTGCTGCTCTGCATTCCACCCCCTCGACCCCTGCCACCCTCTATCAGCAACCCCCGGTCGTTGCACAACATCTTCGTCATCAATTACACATATTGGAACCGTTTCCGCTTCTTGGCACCCATTAACTATCGTTTAAAACACGAAAAAGGATCAGTTTGGCCGGTTGCTTTATTCCCAAGAGTATGAATAAAATAATTATACATCTAAAGCTGAAATATGTTCTACTGCTACCAAAAAGATCTATTGTTTTAAACAATAATTAAAACATGTTAACAAAATTACTACTTTTATGATAACTTAAACAGGATCTAAATTGTTGGAATTACTTTGATATTTTAAACTTTACACAATTAAAAAAAATATTGTAATTCATATCTGTTTTAAATCATATATTGTGTTACTTTTAAACATTTTTAAATTAAATAAAAAAAGGATACTAAAAAGAAGTCACAAATAAATCATTGCAGATAAAAAGTGGCATACAATATGCTATAGTTTTATCAGTTTATATTATAAACAAAATAATTGATAAAATAGAAATATTTATAAAAATAATGAACTTCAATTTTTTTTTTGAAATTACAGAAGTAAGTAAAGTGAAGTTGAACAAGTGGGTGATTATTATAAAAAAGTTTGTAATATGCTCCCATATTATTGTCTACAAAAAATTCTGCATTCTTTTTAAATCGTTTTTTTTTGTCATATTTTTTTAATTAGGTAACGTTTAATTGATTTTCTCATTGCATATTCTGATTGCGCCGATATCTTTTTTTGCATTTTGTCCCATTGAAATACTAAAATTTGAAACACCTAGGAAGAAAAAAAATACGAGACTTCAATGCAAAAAAATATGGTTATAGGTACATACCTGCATACATTGGTGGACAGTAAAAAACTGAAGCCAGTAGAATTAAAAGAAAAATTATTGATTGTTGTCTTTCCCGTCTTTCTCGAAAATGTAGCATTATTAGTCTTACGTTTATAGGATCTTTTTCATTAATTTACCAAGCCATCAATATATCATTAGAGTTTAACCAAGAATTTTATTACTTCATTCCTGTATGTAGAAATATTTTCGTATATTTTAAAAAATACAGGGTGGCCAAATGAAAATGAAACAGAGCCATTTTCAGGAACTGCGTCAAGATTGTAGAAAAACGCTCAGACCCGTCGATTTTAGATTAAAGGGGGACATTCTTTGCTGGTATTTTTGACTCCGCCACTTTCACCCCCAAGCAAGGGTAAGCATCACCCCAAAATATTTAAATGGCATTGGGGGTTGAGTAATATTTCTTTTGAAAGCTCTTACAATTCTCTTTACAACAGACTTTAAATTTTATAATTCCGCCCAATACTTATTAAGAATTTTGATTTTAAAGTTGAAACTTATGTACAAACAATTAGTAACGGTAAAAATGTCAGTCATTCGAGTTAAGTACGCCAATGGTATAAATTTA